TCACAAATTATATGATTTTGATCAAGTTAATGATCTTTTAGAACATACCTTCTTCATCTGCAAAATAGTAAGAGACACTTTCAACCCTAGCTCTCTTCAATTTTGTTTACTGTAGGGTTATCATTGTAATGGTGCAGGAAGGGCAGGTGTACTAAAGATGCAAGTAGCTGAAGCGTCAGGTTTATGCTGGTGAAATCTGCCCAGTTCAGCTTTGGACAGCTCCAGCCCAGTTCGGCAGACTTAAGAAGCGCGAAGCTTATAGGTGGGAATCATCTCAGACTCCTTCCACTGATCTCATACAATTATTCCTGTTTCTATTGTGACCTACCAATAGCTCAGCTCCTACTGGAATGATTTTCAAGGCTGTAGGTGATATTAATATAATGATAGCTATTCCATTGGGGAAAAAAAAGAAGCAAAGGCATCTAGCACTATGCTATTTTCAACACTAGAATTTTAATAAATGACCACTCCAAGAATTTAATGCTCCAAAGAATTAGTGGTATAGTACAAGGTGATTACAAATGGAAAAGAAACATTGGTGGTAGGGAACCTAGTTCATTAATACACAGAATGTTTAATATTTATCCTATGTTCTTATACTTCCTTAGGAACATAGAATTAAAGGAAAACTTGCCAAATATTTTGTGACCATAGCTGAAATCTTGAACATAAGATGAGTTGTTAATAAATTTGGTAGTTAAATTTGCATTATAACTTCTCCATGTACTTATGTTGATCTAGAAGCATGCTTCATGGAATCCTAAAGAAGGACAGGGTCTTAGGACTTATCTTCTTCAGTCCTATCATTTATACCTCATAAATAGGCTCAACAAAATTATTTCATTCTCCATGTGACCCATCTTTGAAAAAAAAACCTAGACTAGGTCTTCTGCAAGAGATGATAAAATAATTAACACATTTATGATGTAAATATATAGATATATTATGGTAGAAATTTTATTGTAGAGGAAGCACCGTGGATAACCTATATCATTGATTATTTACAGCAAACTTTTATTTAGCTTCTATTACCGGTGGTGTTAGGCATGGAGAATACAAAACTCAGTCCTTATCCTCAATTAACTTACAGTATAACTAATACCTTTTTAGTAGCAAAAACAAAGTCCTATTTATCCTACAACCTGCTAGGAAATCGCAACATTTCAATTTAACCCTCTCCCAAATCATGAAAAGTGATTGTTCCAATTCTCATTTTTACAAATGAGAAAATGGGCTTGGATAAGTCGTGCTGAACTGCTCAGAGTTACAGCGCTAGGTAAGTGCCCGAGCTAGACGCAGGCCCTGATCAGCCTGGCTCCAAGGCCTGTGCATTTTTCCATGAATCCACAGAGTGTGATTTACTTTGATCACAATCACACACAATCCCCTCTTAGCCACCTATGACAGCCTGACGGGTTTATTTTCAAAGGCTCAACCCAGTGATTATGTAGGGAAGGAAGCCCATTCTCTAGTTATAAAGAGGAGCTGGTGAAAAGAGGTCCTCCAGCTGTGAAATGGGGATTCAGAGCTTGTTTTCTTGGTTTATTCCTGCTCAATTGTGTGTGCACCGATGTTTATTACGGTGTTTTAAGTGTCTTCATTGGGCTACAATAACATGGATTTTTTTCTTTTTTTCCTCTCTCTCTCTCTCTTTCAGGTATGGAAAAATCGTATCCACAAAGGCAATCCTTGACAAAAACACAAATCAATGCAAAGGTATGTGTCAGGGCCTTGATACCTGAGCTTGCGCCTGTGTGTTCCACTGATGGCTCCTCCTAGGCGAGGCCCAGGCACCAGCTGCACAGCGATCCCAATGTACAGTATATGGCAACCTTTTTAAGCACGCCGAGGCTTTGATGAGTTGTATTTCTAGTAACATTGCTCATTAATTTTTTTTCATTAACAAACAAAATGAAAATCACAAATCAGAACAAGTATCAAATTGCTTCAGCATAAAACTAAATTACCTTCTAACAACTTTGGGTTGTCTGATTTGAATGATATCATCAGTGATGCAAATTGATTTCCTACATAAAAATGAGGAACTCTGGGGAGAACTTTCCCATGCAAAACACGTTCTCATTTATCTGTTGTTTAAAGCTTTGGCTACATTGGTTGACTAGGAATGAATTTACTGATGGGCCCATTGTGTCTCAGTTTCAGCTGTAAGCATCTCACAGGATCTCAGAATTTGTATCTTATCGAGGCTTCCTTTTTTTTCCTGGAAATATTTCTGAAGTTATTTGGCTATATCTGTGGCTCATGTTTTTTTCATGTCTGGGAATCCAGTACTCTTTTAAGGGCTGCATTCATTTATTTGTGAAATCTATATGGGCTCTCTTGCATGACTGAGTTCATATGGAAAATTGAAATCCTTTTTGTAACATGTGTTATTTGTTGTTTCTCTAATCCAGTCGTTTTTATAATACCAACATCAAGAAATATGGTAGAGCCAAGATCATTCGAAACACTGCCCCTATTTCATGTACAAATATAATGCGTGCATGTTTTCGGAACACTTATACACTGAGAATATATCCTGGCTTAACTGGGTAATGGTCAGATTCAATTCAGCAATTAAGGGAAAAAACAACATTCCCTGTGTCCTGTAAACTCACAATTCCCCCAGGTATTTAGCTACTACAAGACAAAAATTAATAAGACATCATTTCTGTCATCTAATAGTTCAATTTCTAGTTGAAAAGGAAACCACCAAGAAAACCAAGAAACTAATCTTAATATATGTGTTAGGATCATTATATCAGCCTAATATATGTGAGAGTGTAACAGTGGTGTCTATAATACAGGGATCCACAAAATACTATGGGAGGAGAATATGGAGATTCCCTTTTGGGGAATGAAGTTTGTAAAGGCAAGGCAGAATGGATGGCCTTGGGAAAGGTTGGTGTTCAGGACAAAGAATTTCAGAATGTAATTGAGCAGACCCATATAACTAGAATAGAAAAAATGCCCAGGTAAGGATATCGGTAGAAAGAAGGAAGGGACCAAGATTTTGGAGGCATTTATAAAGTTATCCTGGATATTTTGAACTTAATTCTGTACACAGCCCTTATATGTTTTTCTGAGCAGAAATGATATGATTCTACCTGTGTTTTAGAAAAGTTATTTTGCCAAAGTGGGTGAAACTGAGTTACAGGGGGGAAGAAACTAGAGGCAGAAAAAAAAACAATGCACATTTGAAATCCATAGATCACAAGGAAAATGAGGAAAGTCCCTCAGGCACTGCTAGAAAAATGGAAAGGGGGTCACGTGAGTTTTCAAAGGTAGAATTAGATATTTTCTATAAAGGCGAAAGGACGCGGGCAATGAAACCCACATGTTGAGCTGTCATTGTTGGGGAAGAGGGCTGTGTCATTGACTGAAGTAGGAAGTCCAGAAGTAGTAGTGGTGGGTTTTGGGGAGAGGTGGTGAGTTATGTATCTGACATCCTGAGCTAGAGACCCTGGTGTAGCATCCCTGTGGGCAAGGTCAAGGTGGAGCTACAAGAAAGCTCAGAGCTACGATGATGGCCATAACGAAGGGAGCAGATAATAACATTAAGGATAACTTGTAGGGGGGCTGGTGGAGTGGGGTCCATTAGGGTAGGCAGCTGAAAACTGAACCTTGGAGGACATATACGAACAACATTGGGCCATGACTGTGAGATATTCTTCACTCTCAGCCCGTGGGAAGCATGTGGTGTGTGAGAAGCTTTGGACTATTAATTCTGTCACTTCCAGACATGCCTGACCGATTCCCAAAGTTTGGGGTAAAAATATCTACAGGAGCAACCAGAGACAATTGAGGCACCCAACTCAGGCAGTCAGTAATATTGATTGAGCCCCAGTCACAAAGGCAGATGCTTCACAGACAAGCAAGCCCTGTGAACCTCAGTGGGTCCCATGACCTGCCTGATCCTTGGAGTGGTCCATATGGAGGGACCCTCCACTAGGCTAAGGTTTGCTCGGGAATGCAAGTATCTCTTGTCACTGTACAACACTGGTGAAACCAAAAGGGTCCATTGCTAACCTGGAAAATCTGTATCTTAGACTATAATCATAAGGCTTGAAGAGGAAGGGGATGTAGCTGAAACGGCTTGTGAGAGTTTCCATAAGCAATTATCTCTTAACAGTGGGGTGCTGATCTGGACAGATGTGGTGGGTATACTTACCTCAACCCCTAACACTCCTGTCCACATCTTCTTGTAACTGCTTATTTAATTTCCTCTCTCTCTCCAAAGAAACCTTTAGACTCAATGAAGACAGGACCTGTGTAATCTAGAAAATGTATCTTCAGAGAAGGAAGTTGCAGGGGAATGCTTGACTGTCTATTGGAAATACTCGAAGAAAATATTAGAACATATCTCTGTTTTGATGTCAAGTTTCTGTGTGTTTTATATGTGTGTTTTATAATGTACCTGTTGGTATAGTTTTATAAATGCTCATGTTTTAAACACATAAATGTATAAATATTGAGTTTGCTGCTCTAAGATATTTTTATTCATAATAATATGGATATAAAAAGTAGTTTGGAGACTACTGGTCTCAAACGTAATAAGCACTGATAAATTTGGAAGGAGAAAGTGGAGGGAAGGAAGGAGGGAAGAAAGATAAGGAGAAATAAAGGGAGGGAGGGACCACAGAACCCCCTCGGGACATCATTGAAGGAAAGGCAGTTAAGGGTGATCTTATGGGAGGGCAGAGGGCTGTTAGACTTTTTGCTTTGAGGCTCTTGTCAAAGAGGCAGGTGATCACACGGTCATTTCACACTAATAAAAGCCTCCAATGGCATTTTCTGGCCTCAGCGTTTGGAGCCTGTGGATGGCAGTAGTGACTGAATCACATCTTTCACCAAGCACATGGAGCGGGTACCCTAAAAGTAAGCCCTCGTCGTCAGAGAGATACTACTGCCACTTCCATGTCTGGGGAAAAATACTACTTTAATGATACTTTAAGTCCTATTTAGAGTATTATTATTTTCTTCAGAAAAACGGCCCCTGAAGTAGTTATAGGTAGAAACTCCATACAGTTGGGAAGAGAGAGCAATTCCATTTATGGAAAGTTGTTTATAGTCACTGATGAGTGTGTGAGCAAGTTGCCGAAGTTGGAAAGAAGGTCACTGTGAATTCAAGGAGCTGATGGGACCAGGCACCAGAGCAGCATTGAAGTATTGTTTTAAATAGCCAAGAATTGGAGCAGGGGCAGTACTGGAAAAATGGACTGATGCAGAAGGTATTTGTGGGGAAATAGGAGGAATGATACCAGGAATCTGTAGACCATGGTGAAAATGAAGGTGCATTGGTTATAAAATGTTGTGAGGTGAGATTTACATTGGAGATTTTAGGTAGGAGGGAAGCCATATGGAGTTAGGAGCAAGGAGGACTCCCCACTTACACGTCCAGTGGGAGAAGGGATGGTAGGGGGAAAAACACACTTGGGAGGGCTACAAAGTCCCAGTGTCCCCAGAATAAATCAGTTAATGATTGGAAACATGCAAATGGAAGCAACTTGCAGTGATAGTTTATATCCACTCAGGATGCAGACGTAACATGTGGGCCTTCCAAGGCAGGTTACTGTGAAACTAATTCATCCCTTCTTCATTAGGACCATGCTAATTTGGTAGAGCCTTTTAAAAGTCAACATGGGGTCCTGTACGAACTCTCCCGCCGCCCCCCCCCCCCCCAGGAAAATGCTTGCTGGGGTTTGTCTGTTTTCACGTCTGGTGTGGCTGGATGTAACAAGATGCAGTTTCTTGGAGGAAATCGGAGGAAACTGAGGTTGGCAGATGACCAGAGGAATGCTTGCTACCCACATAGCCTTCTGTTTTACTTGCAGCCGCCTTCTGGAAACATATCTTTGATAGAATTTGAAAACTTGGCTATCGATAGAGTTAAATTGCGGAAAGCAGTTAAGAGTCTTGGTGTGAGCTATGTGAAAGGAACCGAGCAGTACCAGAGAAAGCTGGAGGCTGAGCTTCGGAAGCTTAAGTTTTCCTACAGAGAAAACTTGGAAGATGAATATGAGCCCCGAAGAAGAGATCACGTTTCTCACTTTATTTTACACCTTGCTTACTGCCAGTCTGAAGAGCTTAGGCGCTGGTTCATTCAACAAGAAATGAATCTCCTTCTATTTCGATTCAGTATTTTACCCAAGGACAAAATTCAGAGTTTCTTAAAGGATAGCCATTTGCAGTTTGAGGCTATAAGTGATGAAGAGAAGACTCTCCGAGAACAGGATATTGTGGCTTCATCACACCGTTTAGGTGGGGTTCAGTTGGAGTCAGTTTATGAGGGCCCTTTTGCTGATGCTCTGGATTTGTTCTGAGGAAGGAAAGTCTATTTGGAAAATGGCTTTGCTTATGTACAACTCAAAGACATTGCGGCGATCATCCTGAATGAATTTAAAACCAAACTGTCCAAGGTTTTGGCTTTAACAGCCAGGTCCTTGCCTGCTGTGCAGTCAGGTGAGAGACTCCAGCCACTGCTCAGCCACCTCAGTCATTCGTACACTGGTCAAGACTACAGTACACAGGCAAATGTTGGGAAGGTTTCTTTAGATCAGATCGATTCGCTTTCTACCAAATCCTTCCCACCTTGCATAGATCAGCTACATAAAGCCCTATGGGAAAATCACCATCTTCGTCATGGGGGTCTCACGCAGTACGGCCTCTTCCTGAAGAACATTGGCCTAACCTTGGAACAGGCGTGGCAGTTCTGGAAGCAGACATTTATCAGAGGAAAGATGGATCCAGATAAAGCTGATAAAGGCTACTCTTACAATATCCATCATACCTTTGGAAAGGAAGGCAAGAGGACAGACTACACACTTTACAGTTGCCTGAAGATTAACCTGACCAATCCACCAAGCCAAGGGGATTATCATGGGTGCCCTTTCTGGCACAGTGATCCTCAACTGCTGAGGCAGAAGATGCAAGTGTACAAGATCCCTCCCTCAGGGATCAACCAGATTTTGGATTTAGTAAAAGGGACACATTACCAGGTAGCCTGTCAGAAGTTCTTCAAGATGACACATAATGTAGATGATTGTGGCTTTTCTTTGAGTCATCCAAACCAGTTCTTTTTTGAGAGCCAGTGGATCCTCAGTGGAGGTAAAGACATCAAGAAGGAATCCGTCCAACCAGAAACGCCCCAACCCAAACCAAGTGTCCAGAGAAGCAAGGATGTGTCATCTGCTCTGGTCTCACTCAACTCCTCTCTGGAAATGGATCTGGAGGGACTAGAGGATTTACTTCAGTGAACAATCCCTGGGCAGTTGGTAGCCTGTCTTCCTCACTAGCTTTTATTTCCTACTTTACGATTTTATCTTTTTCTTTTTTGTCTGCCTTCTCCCTCCACCCGACCCCCCTTCATCCATCCACATATGCATGAGCTTCTCGGGAAGGCAGCCTTGCAGGTAAAAACAAAGACCTCCGGTATATTTTGCTTTGACAAAAGAGAAGAAGAAGAATTTCTTTTGAAATCTAACGCTTGAATAGTGTGATTTAAGTCCCATTTTAGGAGATAAAACAGCTTTCTGGATTGGTTACTGTCCCCTAGAAACAGTACAACTAAGAACAACTTTTATTTGAATGCTTATCACTGTAATGTTGACCCAGGACTTTTCTGGACCATTTTTGTTAATAAATATCAAAATGTAAAAGAAAAAAAAAGTCATTATGAAAAGAGCAATCGGGAATGTACTATGATGCTACTAATTCTACTGAGAGATTTTATTCAGACATATTTTTAAAGTGTTTTATATGCTCACGCTTAGCACCACTTTATTCTCTATATGGGTAGCACTGTTATACAGCCATTACCATGATAGTCGAGAGGACTAAACTACGACAAACCATGGGATTGTTTATTAGAGGAAGTTCAGTGAGTATGGAAGAATATAAAATCATGTGTACCATAAACATGGAGCTATGGAAATATTTGACAGTCAGGAGTGCTCATCGTTATGTCTGTGGGTGGCCAGGATGCTTGGTGCAAACACTGCCTTTCCACTTCATAGATGTGTGACCTGTGGTCAATCCCTTAACTTTGCTGGGTGCCTCAGTTTCCCCATCTATAAAATGTTAATAATAGGGCCTGACTTGATAATTAAATGAGTTAATACATAGGTAATGCTCAACAATACCTCATGCTGACTGTATAAAATGGCAATATTAAGCAGGGAAAATCTTTGTGTTAAGGTGATAGATTATTATTAACTTTACATTTCTCCCAACTTGTTATATTGTCTTTTCTAGGAAAAAAAAAAAAAAAAAGGCAAAACAGCTCTTGGAAAAACTAAAGTGGTTTCAATTATATTTTGGCTGTTCTTTCTGTTAAACCTTAGTAGCACCTGCCTATGTTTCTTTGTTTTTGTAAATTAAAGTTAGCTGAAAATAGCAATGAATTAAGAGAGAATGTTACCCTTTGCTTCTTTAATGAAAAGGTAGAAGAGAGTTCTTCTTGACCATTGCTTTCTTAAGGAGGGAAATGGAAACGGTGTCTGAGGTGGCTTTTTTAAACAAAATCACTAAGGGCATTGAGCCTGTCATTAAAGAATGAAAATTGGATTCGGTCTTCTTGGAGACACTTGCTTTTGAATCATTTGGAATGTGGCCTCTGGACTAAGGCTATGCAATTGAAACCAAATATTATGAAGACAGGATTTATTGATTTTGTTTTTAGAGACATGATATGAGTTCAGTTTTTCAGGAGCTGTTGCAAGTGAGGTATGAGAAAGTACATGCGCTAGTCTCCTTAGAGGTGAAAAGGCGTCAGAATTAACCCAACTCTGGACACTTCCTGGGTCTTAGCATCTGAAGGAAGGGCTTTTGTTCCCTCCTGCCCCCCACCCCACCCCCAGGCCTCTAAGTCTGTATGGTAGGCAGGCCCGGATAAACACACTCACTCTCTATTCCGGAAGGGGTCGTGGGGAGCTCTTTCAACATAACCTCTCGTTTTCAGGATTGTTCTTTCTTGGGTGGTGGCTGCGGCAGCTTTCATTCTGTATAATATGGCAACATAAAACAAAACAGTCACCAGCAGGCCCAAATGACCAGAAATTGCTGAACAAAGCAGGCCGCAGCTCCAGATGGAGAGTAATGAAAAACAGACCGCAGTTCATTCAGCCACTTAAACACCAGGACCCAGTAAGAGCTATTGTACAAGTCACAGAGATTTGCACTGCTTTGTTTTTGTTGTTTTGTTTTTCCCCATGTGTTTTCCTCCTGGGTCCAGTGTATTTGCTAATTTTAAAAAGTCGGGGAAATGAAATGAAAGAAGCCATTGAAAACAAGGTGTAAATCTTCGATGAATTGACTTGTCTCTGCCTTTTCCTGCTTTTTAAGTTTGGCTTCCTCTGTACCACCTCCCACCCCCGCCAGCCATTTTTTTCTGACAGGCTATGAGTTTAGAGCAGAGGGAATGAGTAATGGATATTCCATAGAAAGTTTCCATGCTTAACAGCCAAAGGATATAAGAGCCATTAGAGTGTGCCAAGCATACCGACTTCTAAGATCTTGAAATACTCCCTTCTTGCCTTTGTTGTCACAGGCTGCTTGAATTATATTTATGGACGATTATGTTGCCCTTACCATTTCATTGGACCCCTAAAATCAAAGTTGAAGACAAGGATCCAAAAGTTCTGAGATCATCCATGAAGGGTATCATTAATTCTTTATTAAATGAAACCATAAATTGTTATTCTTCTCTAAGAGAAATAATTCTGCATACTAGATTCATTTTTATAGAGAGGGATAGAACCCACCTAGATTGCTTCATGGAGGGGTGTGAATGAATCCATTTAGCAGTTCTAGATTCATGGCCCTGTTATATGCTTTTTTAAAGTATTTCTGGGTAACTAAGTAGGAGGTGGTACACTTAGACAAATTTGGAATTAATCCATTTTATTTATTATTTAATTTTCTCCTTTAGTCACTAACCGGGAGCATTTAAACAGCAAGTGAGGAAAGTGTGGATTTCTGTATTAAATCCCATGAACCTGGAGGGAGGGATGGATACTCTAGTTTGTCATATTTTTCTGTAGTCTTTGCAGGGTATGCAGTAGCCCCTACCTACAGACCAATCCTAGTACGTGACACTGACATGTACCCGGGCAGAATGTGTGTATAAGTAGAACCATTTGGTTTCCAGAAAATAGCATACCTATCCGGGCCTAGTCCACAAGGAAACTAAGCAAGTAAAGGAAGAAACTAAACACCATGAAAAGCCTCTTTTCAATACCTGTTATTTCCCCAAATCAGTGAAAACTAAAATAAATATTCTGTGAAATTTATGAGTCTGAGGAATTACATTTTGAGAGGAATAGGCTCCTCCCCCAGCTGGGCTCACAGCCTCTAGTGCAAGGAGCCCAAGACACAATGAGACTTGAAAAACACATTTATTTAATTTTCAAATACTGGAATTAGGTTACCAAAAAGAAAAGATGAAAACAGTTCTGTTTAGACAACTAAATTTCCCATTTCCCTTTGCGGTATGAAGTGTGTGATTTTTCCCTGAACTTCTTTTGTGAATTTTTCTCTAATCTGGTACAGTATTAATTTTGCAGCTAGGCACAGGTGATCAATATATAAACATATATTTGCTTCCTTTGGTATTGATACTGAGTTTTGTTTTCATTTCAGAAACAGTTAGTTTGTGTAGGAACTTCGGTAACTTCAGTCAGAATTGTCCTGTAGGTACCTTTTACATGAAATTTTCATCCTGGGCCTCTTTTGAGAAAACTCCAGTGTTTATAGTCTTATAGCCAGAGTTAGGAAAGAACACTGACTTTGAAGGTAAATGGTCGCCACGTGTTGTCTCCAACTCAGCCATACAACTGCAGCTAAAGACACTTCTCCTGTCAAAGATAATCCTTTCGAAACTGTTTTTCTCAGTTCAGTATATTCAGTATTTTAGACGGTTCTTTTATGAAGATGATGATGATGATGCAATGGTGCTGAGTTAACTTTGAGAAGACGTTGAGATAAATGTAAAACAAAATATCTACTCATGTTCTGGGAGTCATACAACTGCACATTTTTCTTCAAGAGTGTCTTATAGCTCTATATTTACTCAGTATTTGCTTGTAATCACTGTGAATATACACATTAGGCAAAAGTAAAACTCTCCACCAACATTAAATTTAATAGGTAACAGTGCTTTTTTTTTTTAAGGTTTTTTTTTTTTTTTGATGTGGACCATTTTTAAAGTCTTTATTGAATTTGTTACAATATTGCTTTTGCTTTATGTTTTAGTTTTTTGGCTGCGATGCATGTGGGCTCTTAGCTCCCCAACCAGGGATTGAACCTGCACCCCCTGCATTGGAAGGTGAAGTCTTAACCACTGGACAGCCAGGGAAGTCCCAACATTGCTGTTTTAAAGCATAAATGTATATTTGACATCATTTAATACTATAACCTATCTCCCTAGCTCTTTTGCGTGTGAAGAGATTATTTTATTAGAAAAAAATATAAATAATTTGTGTGGAGTTTAAAATCATTTAAAAATAAAATGGTAGCCTAAATGTGAAAAGAATTTGAAAAAGAGGGGACTTCCCTGGCAGTCCAGTGGTTAAGACTTTGCCTTCCAATGCAGGGGGTGTGGGTTTGATCCCTGGTCAGGGAACTAAGATCCCACATGCCGCATGGCCAAAAAAACCAAAACATAGAACAGAAGAAATGTTGTAACAAATTCAATAAAGACTTTAAAAATGGTCCACATCCCAAAAAATCTAAAGAAAAAGAATTTGAAAAAGAATAGATACATGTATATGTATAACTGAACCACTTTGCTGTACACCTGAAACTAACACAGCATTGTTAATCAACTATACTTCAATATAAAATAAAATTTAAAAAATAAAATGGTAGAGTTATGTTGCTCTCAGCCATAATCTGAATGTGACTTTTGCTAACGCATGTCTTCTAACTTCACAGAAATCCTTTTGTCCAGATATCCTGTTTGTTCTCCTGCTCCTGTCCTTCAACTCCCTATGTTTAGAGTTTGTTAAAATATATATAAAATGCTCACTCTTCTAAACTCCGCTAGTCTGTTAATGATTTCTTCCAGAATTCACCCTCCCAAGAAGTCCTGAGTAGACTCTCCTCATCCTATTTATACATTTTACAACACCACCTCCTCTGAGCGTCATCTGGGAGCAAAGATCTTACACCCCCTTATCTCTTGGGCTTTTGTGATTAGTGTGTGTCTTCATCTAGATTATAAACTCCTCAGGCTTCTCATGGACCTTATTTTCTACTGTCAAAGTGTTGAGGAAACAGGATGGTTCAGAGGGGTCTTAGATTCCACGGGCTTTATCTTTCTCTCTGGGAGCCTTTGATGTCACATCAGTAGAAAGAACAAACATGGCTGGGTATATGTTCCAAAGGCCTGTAAAACCGCCAAGGGTACCAGAGACATAGTATACATACATTTCCCAGTTATTCTTTAAAGGTAAGCACTTATAACTGACAATATTTATTAGTGTGTAATTATCCCTTTGACTTGTTTGAAGTTATCTATCTTCATTCATCAATGATTTCATAAATATATGGGAAATCCAATATAGTAATATTTCTTTTAAATAATATATGAACTGTAATGACATAGAATGGATAAATATTATATTGGTGTGTGTCCAGTTTACTAAAATTCATGTAAACTTGCAACACCATGTAAATACATATCCTTTCAAATATAGGACTTGAAAAAAATATAGATTTTTTTCCCCCAAAATAACCCTCTTAGTCCTTCAAGGAGTTTTCAGATGAAGTCTACACTGAGACAATTTCTAAGTAATAATCTTAGTTTTCTTGGACAAATTACATAATGTCTCTAAACATCTGTTTCCTTAACTGTCAAATGAGGTTATTTATACCTACAATGAAAAAAAGTATTTTCAAAATTACATGGAACCCTGTTTGTAATGTGTCTGGCACATCTGTCAGGTAAATTTTTCTGTGGTCTTGCACTTGGATTTCTTCTTGTAGGAACCATCTTGTCTAGAGCACCATTATATCTTACACAATTTAATGCAGTTATGAGTACTTTTGAAGTGTTCAGGAATGTGTATTTCATGAATTGACATGTGTTTATTGAGACTGGCTTTGTTTTTTAATTTAATTTTATTTATTTACTTATTTAATTGAAGTATAGTTGATTTACAATGTTGTATTAATTTCTGCTGTACAGCAAAATGATTCAGTTATACACATATATACATTCTTTTTTATATTCTTTTCCATTATGGCTTATCCTAGGATATTGAATTTAGTTTCCTATGCTATACAGTAGGACCTTGTTGTTTATTCATGAGACTGGCTTTGTTAATAGCAAAAAGTATTTAAAGGACTTTTTTTCATACGTTTTTGTGTTGGCTATACGATAGCCCTCAGGATTTTTCAAGGCCTATAAACTTGATGTTTTTGAAGAAAAGTGCATTCCATCACAGTGGCAGGTGGTGGAATTCATTCTGAGTTGGGTAGGTTCGGAAAGAAAGAAAAAAGTGCCCCTTCGTTCACCCTTTGTCATGATGTTCACTCCATAACATTGTTTTACAGGTTCAAAGGTAAAAGGAAAAAAAGCCTAAAGATTCTTGCTTCCTTAGCTTTGAAACCATAGTAAAAGCATATTTTGTTTAAGGCTTGGTGAAAAGTCATATGATTTGATGCTTGTTCTTATTGACTTATTGGTTATTCATGCTGCTCTTAAAATAGCTATTTTTCCTTTCCTTTAGTTAAGAAATGAGAACTCTGGCATATGAAAGAGAAAAACTCATGCACATGACTGAAAAAAAAAAAAACTCAAACTATAAAAGCCAAAATTGAATTTGAAGGATGAATGTATCATTTGTTATAATTGTAAGTGGCTGTAAGTGGGCTCACATGTCCCTTTATCCATAAAATATTAGTGATATAAGGTCTGTATTTCATATGATCATTTTAAAAACCAGCTTGGTTTCCCCATTGTGTTGTGAAATAAGAGAAAATAGCAAGGTTCACATTTAATTTGTACTACTTCTCTTAAAAGGTCAGTTTATTTTAGAATAGAATAGACCTATTGGTCATTAAGCTGACGTCAGCCCTGAGTTGGAAGAAACCTGTATTCATGGAGTATCTTTGGGACACCTTCTCTGTGCCGCTTTTAAAGATATAGTTTCTCTCAAGAAGAGATAATAAAACGCTTAAAA